TTGCGGCGCCTCCATCGTAGCGGCGAGCGTCTCGGTCGTCGCGGTCTCGACCATGATCCCGGTCGCCGTTGCGCTCGACCTCGGAAGACAGCGCCGTTGGACCAGCGGGTGGAGCCTCCGGTGTACGGCGGTGGACAGTCCAGTGCGCCAAGACCTTTAAGACCCAAGGACCCCAGGTGCCATTGACTTGAGAAACTTGGTTAGAGGACAGAAAATGGAGGGTCATGTCACATGGGTGCAGAAGGAAGATCTCATTTTGCCGAAAACCGGTCATCTGAGCTGATTTGCTCTTTCTGAAAGGTGTCTTTCCGGGAAGTCTCCTTCTTGGCCGTCGCCTGGGCAATCTGTCTGGTTTGCAAGATGGTATGGGTGCAAAGAAGAAGACCTGATGTGGCAAAGGTTGGAATTCAGGATGATTTGTATGATTTCTGTATGTGATTTGAATCGATCCCCCGACCCACAGGGCCGGCCGGCCGGCCTGGGGGCGCCATCGGCCCGTCTCCCATCCTGACGTCCGACGGGGAAAGTCGTGATGAGCCGTGCCCCCGGACCCAGCGCTTCTCGGTGTACTTCATCTTGATGAATTCCCGGCACTGAGACGCGGGGAGAGGGATGTTGAAGAGAGGGACGTTGAACGGCACTGATTTACGCAGTCCCACGCGACATGCCAAAACGGTGGCGTGTTTAATACTGCTTTAATATTTTTTCTATAGTGGCTTGCCTTATCTTGCCTGGCCTGCCTTGCACGCAGGGTCTCCAGAAAACATCAGGGAACGATTTAGCCCTTCGAAGCACCTTTCTAGAAGAACTTCTGACTGGAAGTGTCTGGTACCTGAAACAGAAAGCAGGCTGAATCAAACCCTTCTGTGTGCTTGAAAGACACCTCCCTCTTGCGCACCTTGTTCTGATCCGAGCTATCAGGCTCTGGGCAGTCACCTGGGCCACGGACATTGCAACAAGCGAATTCCTTCGCCTCGGATTCGGCACTGCCCAATTCGATTGGGACCTGCATTAGCTTGTGCAAAGCATCCTTCATCCTCATACCGATCCACGCCCACCTGTGATTCCGGTTTCAACCCGCATGAGCCGACCGGGTCAGGGCCAGGCGCGCCTCCGCCGCGGCGCGAACCCTCCCGCGCATCCGTCCGCATCTTCGGCCGAGCCGCGGGGGTCCCAGCGCGCCAGGAACTTGTCCGCCGCCTTGGCATTGCCTCCACCTTCGAAAGCAGCGCGAAAGATGACGACGGAGACGTCGACAGAAATGCTTCAGCTGTTCAGCGTTCGGGAGGTTTTCGGTTCGCTGCTTTTTTTGGAGGCTCCGGACGACGTGGTCGGACCGTGGATGGACGTTTATTCGTGGCTGGTTGGAACGTGGCTTCGAACAGGTGAAGTTCATCGATGGTGACTGGCCCCTTTGGTCCAAATGGAAGGGGAAGCGAAACGCCCGAAGGCTTTTCCCAAATCGTCTGCGGCACTGCGAGGTCGAGGTCGTTCTGAAAAAGCCGCACTTGGTCAATCTGAGGCCCGTCGGGGTTCGTCGGCGGGGGCTTGAGACCAGAAATGGATTCAAATGAATCCTATTTTGGAACCATCTAAAGTTAAACCGTTTTCCATCTTTTTCCCATGGCTTGTGGCAGTCAGAGCTGTGTCCAGCACCTGAACCATCACGAGTCAGGAGGCCGTTTGTCTCTGCGCGAGTCAGGCCCTTCGCGGATCCCCGCGGCGTCGAGTCCGGTCGCCGAACTCGGTGCCCCGGACGTTCGAGGTCCTCGACCTCCTCCACCGTCCACTTTGAGACGGAAATGCCCTGGAGAGCGGAACTGTGTCCCTGCACTGGGGCACTTGAAGGTGGGGTGGTTTCAAGCTTAGATGGCGTTTCTTTTGGTTGGACAGCTCGGCAATTCTGCACCATATGCATGATGGCAATGGATGGCATGTGACTCTGCCACCACCCCTCGCTGGCTCCAGGTGATTGGAATTTACGTTCATGTCGCTGTCTAGCTCTCTCACCCAAAATCCTCAGGGATCTTGGAGCAAAAGGTGACCCAAATTCAATCCGGCCTGGTGTCCTTTCATATCTGAGAGTGTATCAAAATAGGAGGGAGACCTCCCAAAGACTTCCTGGAAGAAGGGAAATAGACTACCCCTTGGTTGATATTGGTTGGCGGCCTCCCTCTTTAAAAAAAAAACCACCCAATCTTTGGTATACCAACAGTGGCTTCACTCTCCAGAACTCCTCCCCCCCTCGTCCTGTTCCTCTGGTTCCGCACCTTCACCTTGTGGCTGAATTCCCGGTGGAGTCCACTGCAGGTGGTGCACACGAAGGTCCCAAAGGTGAGGCACACATAGGTCGGACCCACCTGGAAAAAGCGCCGTCCCCGGCGTCCCAGGCCGTGGGCCGCGTGGCCGTCGACCCGCGCCCGTCCAGATCGATGCTTCACATATCCAAGAGCTTTCAAGTTTGGACTGATCATACTCATCGCAGTTCTCGCTCCAAAAGTCAAAACGAGCGAAGGTCGTGACCGAAGAGATCCAAATTTAACATGCATGCATGCCAACAGCTGTTCAGGTTTCAGCCATTGTTGGAGATGATATCGTCTGATGGACAATCGGAAACCTCTATCCATGGTCGTGTCATCAACTCGCTCGTACAATCTCTAGAGAATGCCAAATCTTAAAGCCCGACACTGCAACTGGTGTGCAAGTCGTCGCCAACACTTCAACAACTTGCGGGTGACGGTGATGCAGGTCCTGTCACAAATCTCACACACACAAACACAAAAGCGCATGTGAAATCACGAGTCACGAGTCAGACGAGTCAGGAACGACTTCGCCCGTCTCATCCCACCTCAGTACAATCTGCACACCGCTTGTTGGCTTTGTCGCTTCGTTGCAAAGCACGAATCCGATCAAGAAGATTCTGGCGACGGGTCGCCGGTGCGGGCGACGGGTCGCTCGTCGTTCGACGTGGATGGGAGCTGATGTGTAGACGAGCTACTCTACTGGACACAAGTCTGCTCTGAAGGCGCAGGTCCTATTCAGATCCTTTGGTTGATCCCACTGAGCAAGAAGCCCTGGGGATCTAGCTGCAGCGCAAACCCAGAAATAAACCTGTCCAGGAAACCGAACTTCCTCTCCTAATGGTGCCCTTGAACTGGCCTTCTCGCTCACCTTCTTCATGGCATGCGTTGACTGGAACTAAGGAAGAGCGAACCTATTCATTCACCTGCTATGGGACTGGGAAACTGGGCGGCTGTGGCTGTCTTGCGGGGAAGTGGACGGCATACATGTTTCGACTGAATGTAGTTACGTATAACAGGTATATACTGTATCTGCTACACTTCCTCAAGCTTTGCAGTATTTAGTGTAATTCTCTTGTACTCTGAAAGGCTCTAGTCAGCTGGTTTGTGGCTGGCCAACAGGTACAAATGCGCATTAACCAGCATGTGCATGATTGACTGGCCAAGGGCTCACGCGGAAGAGTCGCAACGGCAGACAAGCAAGTGAACCAATCCGAGAAATGGACCAAAAGCCGGCTGCATTGCAATCCTATAATCCTATCACGTGAAGCCACTCGTCACTCGTGTGGCCATTCTCTGCAATTATAATTTGGAGGTGAATATTAATTGTTGATAATCTCGTTCACATAAGATATCATAATAGACAAGAAATTGCCAACCAACAAATATAATGCACTACCCTGTTATTCCACCTTATGACAGCTGCCCAGAGGATACAAATAAGGAAAATACCAGTAAAAATAGAAGACACTAATATCCAATAGTAATAGTAACAATAATAATAATAATCGTGCATTGGTATTTTCCCACTTCATAGTATTTCAATTAGCCTATGCAACACCCAGCGGATTGGTGGCCATATCAACCAAGGGGGGGATGAATAAAACATCGAAAGTATAGCAGAAGAGTCTTCGATCCTGCCACCCTTCGTTGGATTTGGATGCTTCTAATGCACTCATACGCCCTTCCAGATTCCTCTTCGAAAAAGAGATTTCCCCAGTCGAAAAAAATAGAAAAGATTGATAAAACTGGAACTCACATGAACTCACGGCACAAAACGCGCACCAAAACACGTCTCCCCCTGCTCTCGAACCCACGCGCCCGCGCCTGCGGTCCTTTGAATCGATGAGCTTCGCATCCCAGCCGCGTTTGGATCCGCGGAGCATGGATCGGGTGCCACCGGTCCATCGGTCCATCTCCGGGAAGGCCGGGAAGGCCTTTGTTGGCCCGGCTTGTCGAGCATGGAGCATGGAGCAAGTGCTCCATCACCGCGGTCAGCCTGGGAAACCCCTGAAAAGACCGTCCGCCTGTCTCCAGCCTGTCTCCCTTTCTCCCCAGCTGGTTGGCACGAACAAACGGACCCACAAACTCCGCGGATCCCGAGGTACTTTGTCCTCGGACTCGAAGGCAGAGAATCAAGGCATCAAAGATCCGCCGAAAAACAGAAAGATCAGTGAGAGTCCGTGACATAGAAGAAACAAGAAGAAACACCTGTGCTTCATGCAGTGACATTAGGGGGCTCCATTGACTCACAGCCGTATATATCGTCACACCTATCATGCAGCCTCGTCAAAACAGAATCGAGAAGAAAGAATAAGACTAAGAACTTATGCCTTAAGCCTTCGATGAAAACAAGGAGCTCCATGAGATAACCAGTGAACTGACTTCCAGTTCCACAAACTGATCTTTGACTTTGCCTCGTTTTCTGTGCCGCCTTTGGCGGCGCTCGCCCTGCGCCCTGGCACGCACCTTTTCGGCGTTCCGTGCGTGCGCTCCGCATCTCTGGCCGTTGGAGCTCGACCCAACGAATAGGGAGATGCTGAAGATGCTCTGAGGATGTATGAGGCATAGTCAAAAACCTGAAAACGCTGTTCCAACATATGGTTCACGGCATTGGAACACCTGAGAATGACTTCAAGTTCGTCGGCTGGGAACCGCCGAAGGCTGTTCCAAACGGTCACAGTCTTCCGGCAGCACGGCTCACATGTGCCTGTAGCGCGTGTGGGGCTCCACGCGCCACCTGCGCGGGGTCACGAGTTCACCCCATCCGATCGGGAAAAACCGGTTCCAAAAGAAGACACATGGAAACACCCCCCGGAAGGAACTGTGAACTGATGTGAACTGCATCGCATGTCTGGGAGACATGGAGTTGGGTGCTCCATCGGCTTCATCGCCCGCCCTCCAACGAATACCAGAACCTGCTATGGCCACCACAGAGAAAACGTTGCGCAGGTGTAATCCCGAGTACCTATTAAAAAAACGGACCCCTATTAAAAAAAAGTCATGCCGGATCCCCCTAAATTCGGTTTATATTTGGTTTTAAATTACCGCCCTTTCAAACCGCTACTAAACTACCAACATGGTCGATTTTGGGGGTAGTTTCTTTATTAGGTTCCCCAAAACTCCCTCAAAATAGGTCCCAATACACCCTCAAAATCGACCATGTTGCGTTGCAGACTCTCCGCTGGCTCTCCTAGTAGCGATGCCAGGAGCCCCTAGTAGGGGCCTTGCTCCTAGTAGCGATGCTAGGAGTCCCTAGTAGCATCCTTGCTCCTAGCAATAGCTAACTCTAACTGTCTGGCTCTCCACTGACCCTATGTTGGGCCCCCCCGATTTCAGGGACCGCCTATTAGAAAAAATGCGACCGAGGTTTCCTTATTAGGGGGGGGGCGTGTTTTTATTAGGTGGACCGGATTACTGAAGCCACATTCCATGAAATATCGTGAGACCTTGAGTATCGTTCCAACCATATCCGCCATCCTGCATCCTCAAACCTCACAAGGTTGTTCCAAGTGTTTCATGGGACAGACCTGAACAACAGATCAGAACTGCCAGACCCTGCAGTCCAAGGTCCGCGCCGATACACCACGTCCGTCCCGGGCGACCGAGAGGTCTCGGGTCCCGGACTCGTTCTCCGGCTTCAACGTCATGTCCTGAGACTCAGCGGTCCAGATGGGGTGAACCGAAGGGGTCCACCACTGCAGATGCCGGAAATCGGAGAGCCATCATGAGCCATCTACTTGGTCGACTTCACTGAGGACCGGGGCCTTGGTCTGTGCATCCACCGACTTGAGCTGCCTGACTGGGCGGAGGCCAGAGGGCGGCAAATAGGGATGGTTGGGGCCAACTGGTCTCTTACAAACATTCTTGTTACTAGTAGCGATGGCCTCCAACCTAATAGCGATGGCCTCCACCCGGTAGCTTCTTGCTACTAGTAGCAAAGGTCTTTAATGAAATGAAAACGATGGAAGACGTGCAGAAAAGCCTCGACTCAAGATTCAGGCAGGGTCACAGGCACGTGGGGTTCCCTGCAGAAAGAAGTGACTTGGAACGCCTTAGTGGCAGCCCCGTGAAGACTAAAGGACCTGCCTGTAGGCAGCTTCTGCCTTGCCAAGGGCTTGCTCTCGGTCTTTGGTTTTAAACCAGGTGCCAAGGCCTCAGTTCATGAGTGGAGGATTTTCCAACCACACGATGGAAGGGTTCAGTGGGCCCACTCTTCGAGCAATTCGAGTCAGCCCAGAATTCGAGTCAGCACGGCAATACATGACTTACTTACGAGATGGATTGGTTCAAGGGAACATCTACAGGAATTTCACGGTTTTTCACCCCCAAAGTGATGGGTGTCCCGTAAATGTTCCCTTCAACCCAAGGTCCTCCGGGTTTGCCTTGGTCATGCTCAGCCCTCGGGGCCCAGGCAGGAGACCGCATCCATTGCGCCCAAGAAGCCACGGATGCATCCAAGGCCTGGTGAGTGGAGGTGACCAACTTGGAAGGTGGAGATGCCCTGATCGAGATGCGTTGTTCAGAATCGAGGAGTTTGTTGGAACCCAAAAAATGCAATTCTGCTTGGAAGAGCTTTCCAAGCAGCCAAGATTGCTTGCGGCGCGGCTTTCTCGAAAGCAGTCTAGGGGCGCGTTGCGCCGAAAGGACACCCATCCGTTGGGTCGCGCCGAAACACGCCTCCCAAGCGACTTGCCGGGATTTTGGGGGGGAACGCCCCGAAAACCGGTCAGCCACGGAAGAACCGCCGTCATCGACCCGGTCAGCCACGGAGCGGATCAGTGTCCCCCCACCGGTGGGCCAGAAGGGCTCCAGGAGCGCATCACCTCCGGCAGCGCTGCCACGAGCTGGAAACGACTGCACCACTGCACCACTGCACCACACCATCAAAGGATGGATCGATATACAGATTGTTTTGCGAGTTGTTGGCCCCCCATGAGCACTTATGTTTCATTGAGCATGGAGAAACAGTAATATCATGAATTGCTTCAACAAGGCCCAGCCAGCCATCGCCTGCCAATGAGATGGCCAGGGGCGGCGTGGAGGCCTCCCCGAGGGTGACAGACTCGGCGCTTCGGGACGTGACAGGCTCGGTCCGGTCTCTGTAGACATCAGCGACTCCCGAGGAAGCTTCTAGTTACTAAGAAAGCTTGATTGTTAACGTTCGTAGCGATGGCCTCCAACCGACTTGCGATGGCCACCGAGCATACCGTCCTTGTTCCTAGCAGGGTCGTCGTCGCACCCGCCGTCTCGCCTCTCCGTCTTGGAAGAGCATCGCCTTTCGTCGTCGCGGGGGCCCCATGCCGATCCGAAAGGCCTTTCTTGGAATGGAGCCTGGGTGGCCCCAGGTGCCTGCTCGTGTCGCTTGGTGTCGGAGAAGTCGAAAATCATCACTGACCTCGCAGAGGAGTCGAGGAATTCCACAGGGCGGAATTGGAAACAACACTCACACGGCTTTAAAAGATGAAAGCCGTGTGCCTGGAAGTCCAAGACCAAATTTTGGGAATGATCTCTGCTTCAATGGAGCAAAAACATCGTCTTTGGACTTGATATGGGGTTTGGATATGAGATGAGTAACGAGTACATGATGGCAGATTCGTGCACGAATGCATTCGGTGGCGTGTTCCTCCCCCACTGTACTCATCTGCACTCTAGCGAGCCGAGGTTTAAAAAGCGGCTGAAGCCAAAAACTCACGACAAGCACCCACTGGCTTTGGACGAGTGCTGAGGATCTCAGCTGTTCTGGCGTAAACTCCGTGGGCAGCCCAAAGTGCACTGCGACCTGAGCAAAAACATTGCAAAAGCACCCTCGAAACAAGTACAGTGGTTTCAGAGTAGATGGCTTTAGATGGGGGTCTACAAAACGTCCTCCCTGCCTTAGCGAGGTCATTGCCACAACACTTTAGAAACACGAGTCAACGCTGTTGTCCGTTTCGGGTGAAGAAGCTCGGGGAAGCTCGGCAGGCCGAAGAAAAACACCGCCAGCGACCCCACACGACCCACCTCCTGCGCCAAGGACTTCAAGTTGTCCAGCTCCACCTTGAAGTCTGACAAGCTTTGAGTCCGACAAGCCTTTAAGACATTGTGCCTGAACACCACCCACGTGCTGTGAACCTCGCATCTCTTTTTTCAGCCCACAGTCCCTTCACATGTCAATCCCATGATGTCGCTCTCGACCATCGAAATCCTGTGGTCACCTGACCATCACTTGGTCTCATTGGTCTCTTCTCGCTCCCCTTCCTCCCAGAGTTGCACTTCTTCCAAGCTCCGGCCGCAGGTCTCGGGCACCAGGTGATAAACGGCCACGGCGCCAGCGGTGTTCACGAGCGCGAAGGCCACGAAGAGAGGGGAAAGGCCCAGGCCGCCCAGGGCCAGGGGGAAGATTTGCATTTCCATAGCCTTGACTCCATAATTGAAGACATGGGACAGGGCCAAGCCGTGCTGACGCATCGGTTGCGGGTAGAGCTCGGTGGTGAGTTGGAAGGACGTCGGAGCCCAACAGAGCTCGAAGAGGGCTGTGGAAGCCACCAAGGATCCGAAAGACAAGGCCATGAGACCGCCTCCAGCATGGGAGAGAACAAGTACTGACATGGATGCAGAGGTGCCTAGGCAGCCCAAAAGCAGGCTGCCACGCCGTCCCAGTCGATCCATCAGCACAATGCCCATGGGCGTTGCCACAGATCGCACAGCCGTCAACGCAACACTCACGGTCGCAAGGTGGCTCTGGAAGCCCATGGCTGCCAAAACAGGAGCCAAGTATGTGGTCATAGCTATAGTACCATTGGCTTGCTTGATGAAATTCACCATAGCACTGATCTCCGTAGCGGGGTGTCGCAGCATGTCCCACACATCAGTACCACTGGCGCTTTTTTGCTCCGCCGGACGAGCGCAAATCATCTCCAGCTCCTCGGGGTCGTCACGGCCCAGCAACTTTAGAGATGCCAGTGCTAGTGATCTGCCATCACCATAGAGCCCAGATCCCCTGAGAGCATCTGCATCTGCATGCGCCAGCCATCTGGGGGAATGTGGCAAGAGCAGCATGCCAGCCCCAGCCATGGCGCTGGGCACTGCCACAGCTCCAAACATCAACTGCCAGGCTCCCGGGATAGGCTGCAGCAGCGCTACCAAGGCCACGCCAGCGGTGGAGCCCAGCGCGAAGGCCGCCCAGCGCGTGCCGTTCGAGGCACCGCGGAGCTCGGCCTCGACGGTCTCCGTGACGTACTGCGCCTTGGCCGGCGAGGAGACGCCCTCAGCCAGGCCGGCGAGGAAGCGCAGCAGCAGCAGGGTGGGGCGATCCGCAAAGAAGGTGCCCAAGGAGATCGCGGTCATGCCCACGGCGGTCCAAACGAGCACATCGCGTGAGGAGGTCTCCTTGGAAGTACAAAGCAAGAGACTCGAGCCGCAGAGTGCGCCGCAAACGCGCGAACTCACCACGGCACCGATGTCCCATGCGGATAGGGGTGCCATTGACCCCACCAAATGGGCATCCGTGAGCTGCAAGACCGCGAAGGAGGTCACCCCACCTTCCAAGCCAGAAGCAAAGTTGAAGAGGGATGGGAAGAGCACATGCCACGAGCTTGCCAGATGCACTTGTGTGTCAATCTCCTTTGCCACAGGTCGTAAGCTCTCCCAGGGCACGTGCAGCTCCAGTCTCCTGGGGACGGACGCCCGAGGCCGCAGTTCCGGCTCTGCATCTCGCTCCTCGTGCTCGGTGGGACCTGAGTTAGCTGGGTGGATCTGGGCCTCCCAAAATCATGCTGAATTAAGCAAAACAACACACCACCAACACCTTGCTTCAACACCTTGGCCCATTTGTTCAACACCTTGGCCCATTTTGTTTGGTTGTGTCTTGTATTGCATCTGGCTTTCCTCCCCAGAACAAAACAATAGCCTTTGCTCCCAAGCTCTGCAGGAGCTGCGGCACCCCCCCGCCTCTCGGACATGTAAAACAACACGTTTTCGTTGTTTTGTCACATGCCCGAGATGCACATGTACCGCCATTGCATGTCCTTATGAAGAGAACTGACTCCCATCTCCCCCTTTTTAACATGGATCACCTAGGACTGCCGTACACGGCTCGCTTGCCGTCCTTGCCCGTACTTTTCAGCAACACTGAAAGGCTTGCCCGAATGAATCCATGACTGTTTGCGGGTGAAGACATTCTCTTTCACCCATACAGCATGTGACTCTTTACGTCACATCAACCCCCAAACAGAGCCCGCCCACTGCAGCCGTTGGACGCTTTGTTTCCCTCTTCGCGGCCCTGCGGAGGGAGTCAGAGACCTCGTCCACGGAGCCTTTGAGAGAGCAGAGGAAGCTCCAGAAGACCTCGGCACTTTTCACCTCGACCTCACCATTGAAGAAGCTCTCCCCGCACTGTCGGGTCTTTTCAAAGGCTCTCCGGTGCCGCAAGCCCGACATGAGAACTCTTGAGCCATCGAAGACCACTCAAAAGAAGAGAGGAGTTCCATCAAGACTTGGGTGAACATGAGTGATTGGAAAGCTAGGCTTTAGGATGCTTTACGCTTGCATTAGAGAGAGTCGCAGTTTCCCTCTATTCCGACTATAGATTCCCCACAAGAATCTGTTCTTGGAAGTAGCAAGCAAGTTTGCCGCAGGCTGAGGTGACCTTGTCCTTGACCGACGCAGCACCAGCTTGCTCCCGAACCATTTTCGTTGGAGACAGCTCAATGGAGAGGCCAAGTGTAATCAAACTGAAACACGGCTGTCAACAGGTGTTTATATCATTCAACAATCTGTTCAAGAATGTGTTGTTTAAGATATTTAAATATAATATAGATGCAATCGAGGTCCTGGATCATCTCACAGAAACACAGCTCCCGCTCTTCATATCTCTTCATTTTCTACTCGCACGCGCAGAAGGGATTTCACCCTGAGACTGCTCATGGCCACAATGGGAGAGCTGCTTCAGCAGAGTGAGGCTGTCCCTCCAGCCGGAGTGAACAAAATGAATCCGTTGAATGCTCAAAAATCAGAACTCGGACAGCCGGCCCAAAGTGAGATCCGATGACCCTTTTTTCGAGCTGCCCAGAGCTCAACCTGAAGTGGACTGAGCCATGGCCAGGTGCTGCAAAAAAAAGCACGTGTCTTCCTCTCATCCCACCATCCCACACCAAATATAAATCGCTAAAATTATGCCGCCCGCCAAAGTCCCTTCCTCAGAAACGGACTTGTGCCAGCTGAGCAACATTCCGATGCAAAACTGTCAGGATCGAGCTTGGCACTGAACCAAGAATGTGCCTGTGCGCCCTACCCGATCCTGGTCCTCAACTCATGAGGTCCATGAATTAGCAACCATTCACCTTCGGCTCTGGGGCCTTGCACAAGAGGATCCATTTCAAGTTGTGCAAAGAACTCCTCAAACCCTCGAGGCGGGGGACAGTATTGAGACCTGGGTCGACCCAACCGCGGCTGATGCGGCGAAACACGGTAGGCGGCATAGCGCTCTAATATCTGTCTGACCTGGAGGTGCTCTTCTCTGCATCCTGCGCACTGGTAAGCGATGCGACCCCACACATCTTTAGCCTGAAGATCTGCTCCAAACACCAGCAGCTTCGAAGTGATGTGGGCATCATTCTGCTTCACCGCTTCATGCAACGGATAGGTCAAAGGCCATCCGCGCTTGGAGTTGACGTTTCCTGGGTCAAGTCCATTCAAGAGGAACATCCCGACGGATGTCCGATCAGGTCCTGGGGCCGTGGATTTCGCTCAATTTAAACACACGAACGGCCACCAACCACGAATAGAACACCCTGCAAACGAACCCCTGAATTTTGAGATCTTGAACTGGTAACGAATTCAAAGGATCCACAAAAAATAAGAGGAGTAACTGCTGCAGCTCTGTTGACTACTCAGGTAGGATGCTGGGAATGCAAAAAACCTACAGACACTATCAAGTGACCGCTCATCTGAACGATCTGTAGAAACTGTTGAATCTTCAAATGGTTCTACTTCCCCGCAAGGCAGTGAACCTCAAAGTCATGGCAAGTCACAGTCTTGCTGTGATGCCCTTTATGTTCACCTGCTCTCGCCTGGCTTCTCCGTTGTTCCTGCTGAGGTGAGGCCGTCATGCCCGTGAATTCGTGCATCCAGCAAAGTTGCCGGAGGCCTTGCAAGAAGATGCAATGACCAGGTGCCGAAACCAGGTCTCGAACCCACGGCTGCCAGACCCGCAGAGGGTGACACTCGACTTTCAGCCGACCGATCCACTCGTCCGGGCTGGTCCTTTTTGGTCCTTGCTTCGACCTACAACACGGCAACAAAAGACGAACTCCTAAAGCTTCGTCCATTCGGAGTTCGTCCAATCACAACCCAACAAATCGTCAGAAAACGGGCGCCCGCCCCGTTGTTCCAGAGCCCCCCCGCATTCTCTGCGCGGAGCAGCGGCGCCTCAGCTGTCAGAGTCGACGGCCCATTCCATACAGCACAGTAGTCCGATCGCACTCCAAATACATCGCAACCTCAAGCATCCTGGACCGCCCATTTCCGCGCCCAAGACTTTTAGACCACCCACTCTTTCGTTTCGTCTTCTGTTCCAACTTGGCGTCCGAAGGACCGCGGAGCCCGCGTCTCGCGGAGCCCGGCGGTCTCGGCGCTCCGCCCACCGCGGTGTCCAGCCGGGCCCCCCGAGCACCATCCAAAGAATCCGCCGTGTGAAGGCAGCCCTTCTCGACTAAACACCTCAAGGTGGGAAGGCCAACTTGTGCAAGGTAGAGCCGAAGACAATGGCAGCTTTGCCCAAGCTTTTGATACGCACTGTGATCATTTGTTTCCATACTTGAATGGAACAACATCGAGAAAACTCTATATACATAGAGAGAGAGAGAGAGTTCCTTCGTGCCGGCGCGCAATCTTGCAGGGCACATAAACCTGATTGCAAGTCCTATAAAATTAGTCGAGCTTGACCTCCCACAATGGCTGTGTTTCCAGGACACAGAATGGGTTTTCTCAGTCGTCGTCGGTTTCTCTCGTCAACTCGCACGTGGCCCTGTAAGCCTTCCGAAAATCACCCCCCCCCTGGAGAGTTCGCGTGAATCTGCCGTTCAAAGAATACCGCTTAAGTCCAGTAGCAAAGGCTTCGACAAGTCACCTGGTCAACGAAAAAGACTTCTGGGATGCCAAGGCACTGCTTGGATGGCGTCATGATCATGTAGTGACCTGCATCGCCGTGTTCGGACTTCTTTGGGGCGCCATGCTGTGCCAAAGTTTGCCATGCTGTGCCCAACCCCCCCAAACACATGTTTTCCCAGTGTTTCACATCTTTTCCCAGTTGGAAGGTGACAACCATGTCATGTCCGCCCGTGAATCACCCGTCCAGTCCAGCTCCGGTCGTCCAGGGACGGTGAAGCTCGTCGTGCCGGGACGGTGCAAGGCCTCCTGATTCTCTCTGATTCTCTCTGATACAAGAATATACAGAACTTGGTACCATTGATTCTGATACACGCTCTTATTCTTGATTGTATGATATATTCTTGGTACCATCTCTCTTATTCTCCTGATTCTGATACACGCTTGACTTTACAAGGATCAAAAAGGTGGAGATACGCGAGAACTTGGTACCATTGATCCCCGAAAAAAGGTACACAGCATGAGCGATGCTTTTAGATACAACATGATACCACGACCACGACCTCGCAGTCTCTCAGCATGGCGATGTTGCCCAAATGCAGACTGGAAAAGGACCAACTCTATGAGCTTCTCATGTGCATCGCATCCCGTTCAGCTGAGTGTTCTCTCCACCGGCACACTCAAGGCACCTCCGACGTCTTCGAGCAGATCGTTGGGTCCCCCGGACTCTCGTCACCCCTGTAGTACACGATGTTTTGCAAGTCCGCACCAACCTCACCGCGGTTTTGCGCGGTCCTCTGAATCCGAGCCTAGGAGAAAAGGTCGCATCAGCGGCTAAAATGGAAGATCTTTCAGCAGCTGGTGTTGCCAGATGTGGCTAAACGACACAACCAGCGCCAGTTCCCACCTTGTCCTTCAACTTCTTAAACAGCTCTGTGTTGAACTGCCTCCGCAGGATTCCCCCAAGAAAGGCTGGGTCTTTCTTTACGTCACTCGTTTCTGGCATCTCGCCAGGATTGAAACCATGCACCGGGTTAGCAGGGGACGCCTGGAAACCACAGCGACACATCGATGGATCGCTTCCAGTGTGCTGCCGTTTCCCGTCATTTGCCAGTGGTTCCCCACCCCCTTTTCTGAGCCTCGCCCACGAGAATTGCCGCAGGTTGCGCTCGCTGGAGGTCTTACCTGGGCATGTTCAGTGGTGGGCACCGGAGTCACCGGTGGGGACCCAAATGGGTCACACCTCAGGCATCCCGACCATTCAGAAAGTTGGCCACGACGCCGATGGCCTGTGTCCCCAGGGAGTGCTCCACTCACCCGTCTGGAACAGTCCCGAGATGTCCCGAGTGTGTTGGCCCCTTTTGAGGAACTTAGAGGGAATTGAAGGGTCTAAAAAGCGGTCTCATGATCCCTGAAGGAGATCTGTGAGAAGGCACTAAATTGTTCAAGTAGCATGTGTCGCAGCTTGTTCGGGTCACCAGCTCTGCTCCAATTCATGGCATGTACAAAATCCAGTCTCAGCTGTTGCACTCCGAGTTGTTTAGAACAGAATCCTACAGAGCCTGGATGGTTATCACATGTTATCACATTAAAGGGTCCAGGTCTTTCACGAACATCGATGGAAAAGAACCTACTCCTTTCTTTGTCTTCGCTGAATTTCGACTGGCTGACCATGGAAGACCCCCAACTACCATACATCGCCTGGGCAATTTTGGCCTTTCATGGGAAGGATCAACAAGTAGAGTGAGTGCCCAACGAAAAGTATGAACGATGGCTATGCCTGCTTTCAACCACGTCAACATCTTGCGCGACATCACTGCCTGCCCTTCTTTGCCCAAACCACCAGCAATAGTAGCAGCACCTGCCAGCTAAGTCTGCTATGTGCTCTTCATGCGCACATTCATCCGTCACCTCAAAAAATCGAAGTACCCCAAATAATGCTGTGTTGAACGAGCAGGTAAAACCATGCGTTGGGACTGCCTGCCTCCCATCCTAATTTTTTTGGAATCCTAGGCGCAGCTGTGCTGCAGCAGGATTGATGTTCACATCTTCAAGTGGCCTTTCCCTTGGGGGATTTGTGCACCCATCACCTTCTTCGATGCTCCTGTGGCCCACTGTAGGATTGTCTCGGTGCTGGTTCCCTGGATCTCCACCTCCAGCTCGATATCTTGAGGGCCCCTGACTTGATTCCCCTTTACCAAGCCGGCAATCTCCCCAGACTTGCCCCAATACCTGCACGTCTCCACTTGCATCTGCGTACATCAGCTTGTGATCCGCAGCTAGGCCTTTCAAGCCTTTTTGCATCAACTCACAAGCATGCCCAGCAACATGACATGTGTGTGTGTGTCCCCCTCCGTTTGTAGGAGGTTTTGAACACGCAGGGGAACAGGCCAGATACATCGTCGCCTGGTCAACGAAGCTGGCGATGTATCTGCGGATATGGAAATGGGACGCCATTTCCACGTACCTCCACTGCTGTACAGGGCAACAGAAGGAAATGGTTCTCGGCGGACTTGTGCGTCGGTTCCTTTCCTTCTGTTGACCCTTTTCTACTCGAATGGGGCGATTCGCAAGTCTCGCCCGCTAGCTACAAACTGCAATCTTCATTTCCTTTTCTAGCTATTTCCTACCCCATTCGAAGCGACTCCTTTGGTCTCGCTTCCAGATGGAATTTAACCCATTATGCACGGCCGTAATTCGAGACCGCTAAGTATTCAGTAACTAAACTGCTGCAGTCAAGTGAAACCACCGCTGTTCAAACATTCAGTTTCCGTGGACTCAACCACCTTTCCGTTGCAGCATTTCTTTCATGTGGATTATGGCATTGGATGAACCTGATCTAAGTGTGATTCGCTGTGCTTTCCCACTCTGGTGCGCAGTGATCCCCTGCAACGGGGCGCCGAGACCACTGTGATTTTGGTGTGACTTTCTCGTTCTGCAACTGTGGATTCTGGTTTGGATTATTTTGTTTCACCCATGGGTCAACTGACAACAAAGCTGCGAACTTACGGATTTCACACCGCCGGGCCTACGTTTTACACACACATGTACACACACCCCTTCCCCCCTCCCCGCTTTCTCTCTTGCGCTTTCTTCGTTTTTTAGGTGTTCTTTCAGGCTCGTTAGGTGGTTCTTGAGCTTGAGGCTCGTTTCCCTGCCCCTCGGGTTTGGGTTCTTTCTCTCTTGCCTGTTCGTTTCTCTTTGGGTTTTTCCGCTGGAGGCTTTTTAGGTTTGTAATGAGGTTTTCCTTTTTTCAAGGGCTAAGTAGTCAAGTGCTAAGTAGTCAAGTCAAGGGCTGGGTATTCACTGGCTTAGGACCTAAGTAATCTCCAATGTCCAAGCTGTCTACTGCGTTGTTGCCTTCTTAATGCCCCCGTGTGTGTGTGTGTGTCAAACCCTGTTTCCAAGGGTCTAATTTAATTTAAAGCAGGGGGACAGAGCTCTCTGATGCTACTCTGTCCAACGAAGCTAGGCATCAGAGAGGGAAGCATCCGCTGGCCATGGATGTGTACCTGCTTTAACGGTTGAACAAGCTGTCCAATTGACCTTGTTTGTTTTCATGGTTCTTCATGATACTCCCCCTAAACCTTCCCACTGCGTTCTTGCAACTGGGCCGCACGTTTTCGTGAGCGTTTCGTTTTCGTGCTTTCTGCAGACTTCAAACCATTTTGTTCAAACATCTACAAGTTTTGCGGACTCTTCACCTTACCGTTCTTCACCTTCCTTCCCAACGTGGCAATTGAGTTAACTGAAAACCAATGTCAGAGTGTGAGCCGCTCAGTCTTCCCACTTGGGTGCTGGGTGTGACCCTCCGAAAGGAGGCGCCGAAACCATTCCGGAATTCACTGGTCCTTCATATTTATAACTGACCCTTTGCTTCTTCACTTTCATAACTGAATTAACGAAGTTTTGAGCCGCCGGGCCAAAAAACGGACAATCTCAACCACCGAATCCAGAGCCGCCGGGCTATAAAACGGCAATCCACCCGCAATGAGGCAGGTTTCCCAACCCCCCCCCCCAGCCGAGTTCTACTCCCTACCTATTTAGGGCAACATAGGGAAATGGTACTCGACACACTTGTGTGTCGGTGCCTTTCCCTGTGTTGTTCCTGTTCTAGTCTATCCTACCCGGGCGGTCTAAGACTAAAGTCCCGCTCCCTAGCCACTTAATTCATCTCTGCTAAGTAATCAGTAACTCTAGAGTACACTGCCAATGTGTGGTTCCAGTATGACTCAGCTGTACACGATACAGGTGGCCATTGTAGGGGGTCACAACAGCTGGCGCAACAGCAGCTGGCTTTGTATTGTTAAGGCGCTCCACAAGCTCTTGTGCTGACTTGCACTTGCACTGGTCACTGACCTGTTTCATGTGTTCTTTGTGGAGTTCAATAATCTGCTGCAATGCAAGCCTTAGGAACAATGTGACACAATGAGCCACCCAATTAAGGAGTGTGACTCATGTGTTGAAAATGCCAAAAGCATCAAAGCTGAATACAGCAAAGATTCTCAAGGATTGGATGGCTTTCACAAGCAGCACGTTCTACCACAAAGTTTCCATCACCATATTGCCTTGAAGTATGATTGGTCACTGTACACTTGCTCACACATACTATGTGCTATGCATAAACTTAAACAGCTCGCTCGCTGTAAGATGCATGCTAGACACTGTTTGCAAATGTGTGGTGCTGTACTAAGAGATGTTGAGAATTCCTTTGCAGCATCCAGAAGCCTCACCCAGCTGCAACAGCAGTTTGTTAAGTTGAACATTGTGCGCAGTCTGAAAACTAGTAGAAAAGTCAAAGCACATAATACATGTTTCTTCAAGTGCAGTGAACCCACCAGCCACATAAGGGCAAGGAACGCTCGTGTTGGATCTTGGTGCTGAAGCAAGTTCATGATGTTTGTGCCCATGCCCATTGCAAGGCAATACTCAAGCACATGTTCAGTACCAATGTGAATCTCCATCCGTCAAGGGTCAGTGGATACTACTGGGGACCTATACTGTCAACCTGTAAGCCACCTGCCAAACTGCAGTACAAGCAAACCATTTAACAGTTAGTAACAATAAACTGCCAAATATGCCTTGACATCCAAGAGAAGAGTCACCTCCGGTAATGTTGAACCATTTCATGATTTGCCTTTTAAAACGGAATGTGTGCATACATCAGCATATTTTCATTTTATAGCTACATGACACATTGTGTACCAATTAAGAACAATATCCAACACATCAGTTTGATAATGACTTCATAGCTCACTATACAAATTTATATACATCCAACTTACGTTAGCTTCAAGACATGTGGTATGTAGTATAAAGAATATACACAACTTGTGTTACCAGAAAAATATATTGAGATTGTAAAAATGTAGTTAATAAGCATATCTAAAATGTCCACTAGCTGCATAATATCTTCATTTTTTATTGGCCAACAAGTTGCTGGATCAAAGTAATATTATACAGCATAATATCCATCTTGCTTTGTACATTACATCTGCAAGCACATTCATGGCATGATGCATGCCAGTGGTGTGCTCCAATCTCAGTGCAGTGCAGTTGTGCGCTCCAACCTCAGCACAGTGCAGCTTGCAATCACCACATTCGACCAATAGTGCCTTTCCTGAAAGATCTATTCAATATTTAATGCAGTTGTTGTTCACCGAGGATGCTAAGCTTACAGTAGATGTCATGTGCAAGTTACAGTGGTGCCATTGGTGGCGGGGATTTAGCCTGACAAGGCTGATTTTATATTTGTAGAGTGATCAAGGAAAAGCAGCTGAAGCATGGGCTAATGACCTTTGGGGGTAGTGCAGCACATCTATGACCAGGTCTTTGGGAATATCCAGGACTTTAATTACAATCCATGCCAGACCCTTGAATGAAAACAAATTAATTAGTAATTAGGCAGGTGTAAAATTAAAAGCTGTCAAGTTGTGGTTTGTACAACAGCTGTATCACAGTGTGATGTTCTCTTGAAATCAGAGTCACCTAAGTAGCACAAGCTGGTGGCAGCGAGAGCCGCTCGTGTGGCTTAGCGTAAGACCACCTGACCATCCCCATCCCTGTAGTACTAGTAGAAGGCCAGGGTTGAATCTACATTAGAGGCTACTTTACTAACTTTCTAGGCTAATTCATGAGCTTGCTGTCAAGTCCGGCCGTGTAGCTTGGCTCGTTCAGCAAGTAGTGTAAACTGGTGGCAGTGAGAGCCTCCTGTGTGGTTTAGCATAAGACCACCTGACCATCCCCATCCCTCTAGTACTAGTTGCTGTGCAATAGTTCTTGAGGCCCCAACATTGTTTGTGCTCAATGCATCATGCAGACCTCGCAAATGATGAGTCTGGAAAACATCTGGAAAACTTAAGATTTCCAGACACCGGCTTCATTTCCAGACAAAATTCCAGACACTAGCTTCATTTCCAGACACTTTCCAGACAATCTCACTACAGACATGACATGAGTCAAAAGTTGTGAGCTGGCTGAGGTCCTTGCCATATCGGCCCTGACTGTAAACAGACACCTCAGAAATTTGGAATGCTTTGATGATTTGACTGTTCAAACGGAATATGTGCATATTTCAAACAAGTTATACATCACATAATGTAATTGTCAAACATATAGGGTTGGTAATTGCTATGTAACCACTATATACCATAATTCACAGAAGTTACATACACATCATAGTATTGTTTAATACATAAACATCCAACAACTATGTTGGAAATATAGACTTTATAATAGCAATAGATATGTTTGTCACATTACTAGCATATTGTATCCAACTTATGTTGGCCAACAAATATGTTGGTTGATAGTAGTAGTAGCTATATCCAACTTGTGTTGGACAATGCGATATCCAACAACTATGTTGGAAGATAGCTATAGCAATTTATGTTCTTTATCTAAGAAAACTCATGTGCTATAACCAGGTCATAACCAGCTTCAGTGTGAACAAACTCATGAAACAGAACAGCAAATGTTGAGTTTATATGGCATGGGTCATCATCCACATGAAAGTTAGTTACAAAACTGGGTGCCCACCACTCTTCAGCCTCAAGGTCCTGGTGTGCAAAACAAAAAGCAAAGGTTTTACTTTAGTCCAAATCACAGAAACAATCAGCAAGGAACACAAAACCACACAGCAATGCGCTCAGATACACTTCTCAGGCACTTAGAAACAATGCACTCAGGCACATTTCACCGCAATCAGGCGCTCTGCACTCTGCACTTTTTGCCATCAGCAGCGCCGCCGTCGGCGAGGTGGCTTGTTGTCCATGTACCACGTCAGCCTTGGAGTCAATGAACAAAACATAAACAAAAGTTGATGCTAAAGTTAAAGTACCCAAATCAACCAACATTTGCATACATCAAAAGTGACACTAACTATTTAACATTCAAAAACTTACAAGTTATATCCAAAGAAACTCTTCTTCAAAGTCGCTGATGTCCACACATCTGGATGGAGGCAAGTCAGGATCTCGCAGCTCTTTCACACGGCTTGCCTCAGCGGATTTGCCAGATGTGAACAAAGAAAGTTGCCTTGCCGCATGTGAACAAAGAAAGTTGCCTTGCCACATGTGAACAAAGAAAGTTGCCTAAACAGCCAAGGAACAGCACCAGCAAATGTCGAAAAAGGGCCCCTGTCCACCAGGATGGAAGCCAGCGCTGCAGGGCTGCGATTTGCACCGCGCTCACAGTGGACGATGGCCACCTCTGCCCCATCCACAAAGTCAAAGAGCTGGTTCAGCCTCAGATGCTGTCAAGTGCATGAGGCCCACATATTGCCGTTCAAAAAAAGTTACAAACAAGCCTATAGACTTTGAGACTAACAGTCACAAAAAGCAGAAAATACCAAAACAGCCATGAAACAGCTGATACATCTTCTGAACTCCTCCTGACTTGCCCTGGTTGATGCAGTTCTGCGGGTTCCAGGCAAGGACTTGAAAGCCAAGGTGGGCACCAAACTGTTCAGCATGCGAGCTTCTCCTCAGATGCAACACCCAATCCACTCAACCAAGAAAAGCTGCTTAGAACAACATACACCTGTTTGCTGAAACAAATAAATGCAAAGTTTCATCTACCAATGACTCACCAAGGATCTGTTGATTTTGGGCAGTGATGATTCTGATCCGGGAAGCGTAGGTCTGCAGATCACTGTAATTAAAGTAGCCGCCCAGGAAGATGTCGCCGGCAATCTGGGTCCTAAGCCACGTGCTAAGTTCAGGGAGGAATGAAGAGAAGCAGCAATGACCTTGAACCTGGTTTTCCTTAGGTGAAAGCCCGCCCATGGTTAAAAATCAAACTGTTAAAAATTAGCAAGCTGCCCAAACCTGCCAAGACACAGTGGTGCACCGTTTTGATCTCGAACTGCCCTCAAAGCTGCAAGCAACTGCGGGTCCTGAGAGGGTCACCAAAAGCAAATTAACATGGAAACCAACCTTTCAACTTGGCAGCTACATTTGATAAACCTTTTGCAAACACTATGCATGGAACATCTAAACACCATGCATGGAACATTGAAACACCTTTGAATTTAAGCAGTGTCCTTCGGGCCAGCTGGAGCGGCAGGTGGCCTCTCTCGAGGCATCGGCTTTGCCTTTGGTTTTGGCTCTGGCTGGGTTAGGTCCACCATGGGTGTTGTAGGGTTTCTTGTTCTTGGTGGTGGATAGGCAGGTGGTGTGGGGCCTGCTGTTGTCGGACGTGGCACTGCTTGCTGTTGTTGGAGGTAGTGCTACAGGTGGTGTGGGGCTTGCTGTTGTTGGATGTGGCTCTGTGGGTGGTGTGGGGTATGCTGTTGTTGGATGTGGCTCTGTCGGTGGTGTGGGGTTTGCCGTTGTTGGTGGCTCTGTAGTAGGTGGTGTGGGGTTTGCTGCTCTCCAAGGTGGTAATGGCTCTGGCGGCTGGGGTGGGAACGCCGGTGAGTGCTAGGTATTCAGACACACACATGTACACACACATGGACATACAGCCCCTCCCTGCCCCCCCCGCTTTCCTTCTTGCGCTTTTCGTCGTTTGTTGGGCTTTCTTTCAGGCTTTTTAGGTTGCTCTTGAGGCTCGTTTCCCTACCCCAGTCAAGGGCTAAGTATTCACTTTTTCTACACCTACCTTTCTTTCTTGCCCTCTTAGCGCTGCTCTTTCTGTCTTTCTTTTCTTTTGTTTCTAAGGCTTTTTAGGTGACTATTCAGGTCTTTCACATGCGCGCCGCGAAGCGGCACCGTGTGTGTGTCAAACCCTGTTTCCAAGGGTCTAATTTAATTTAAAGCAGGGGGACAGAGCTCTCTGATGCTACTCTGTCCAACGAAGCTAGGCATCAGAGAGGGAAGCATCCACTGGCCATGGATGTGTACCTGCTTTAACGGTTGAACAAGCTGTCCAATTGACCTTGTTTGTTTTCATGGTTCTTCATGATACTCCCCCTAAACCTTCCCACTGCGTTCTTGCAACTGGGCCGCACGTTTTCGTGAGCGTTTCGTTTTCGTGCTTTCTGCAGACTTCAAACCATTTTGTTCAAACATCTACAAGTTTTGCGGACTCTTCACCTTACCGTTCTTCACCTTCCTTCCCAACGTGGCAATTGAGTTAACTGAAAACCAATGTCAGAGTGTGTGTGTGTGTGTCCCCCTCCGTTTGTAGGAGGTTTTGAACACGCAGGGGAACAGGCCAGATACCTGCGGATATGGAAATGGGACGCCATTTCCACGTACCTCCACTGCTGTACAGGGCAACAGAAGGAAATGGTTCTCGGCGGACTTGTGCGTCGGTTCCTTTCCTTCTGTTGACCCTTTTCTACTCAAATGGGGCGATTCGCAAGTCTCGCCCGCTAGCTACAAACTGCAATCTTCATTTCCTTTTCTAGCTATTTCCTACCCCATTCGAAGCGACTCCTTTTGTCTCGCTTCCAGATGGAATTTAGCCCATTATGCACGGCCGTAATTCGAGACCGCTAAGTATTCAGTAACTAAACTGCTGCAGTCAAGTGAAACCACCGCTGTTCAAACATTCAGTTTCCGTGGACTCAACCACCTTTCACTGTGGATTATGGCATTGGATGAACCTGATCTAAGTGTGCTCCGGTCTCAAAGCAGATCAAAAAATCATCCACCTTCTACCGGTGACAAAGAAAAACACTACATCCGGAGGCTAACGGGGTGAACACAACGATCTCTCGGCATGTCCAAGCACATCCCGTGCGTCAATGGCCGTTTGGACCCCGCGCGCCCTTGGAAGCGTGTGAGAGGAACCAAAGGAATGAGAGGAATGTGCCCAGTCCTTGCGATTCGGGTTTCACCTGACCCCGAAACAATCATGAAACCTCCGACGAAACATCAAACGATCATATGCAATAAGTGATGGCCAGAATTTGGGGCGGCCGAGGGATTGACGTCAGGGGATGGTCAGGGGAGTACGCCGCCATGTCTCCCTCCCATTCTGAATCCACCCGCGACGGGCGACCCAAACTCAAACCATAGATTCTTCTCCAATTCCCACCCGCAAGTCAAAAAATCCGGCACTCATCGGCGAAATCCTCAGGCTGCGGCTTCTACCAAAAAAACGGGGCTCGGGACGGTCGGGAATCGACCGGGAACGGCTTCGACACCGCTCCTTCGACACCGCTCTTCGAAGGCCCCAGATCCGCTCCGCCTTTGGACTTGGCGATCCGAGAGGCGGCGCCATCGCCTGACGGCGCCCAAACGGATGGCACGCGAGCTGCTCGGCTGAGCCGAGCGGTCCCAAAACACCTGGATGGGGTCTGGAAAAGGAGTCTTGATGCAAAAAAGGTTAAGGAAAGCAACAATAACATAATAAACATGAGATAGACTAAAGTTCAGGCACACCAATGATCGCGAACGATTTCGACCAATGGTGGTGCTGCCCTCTAGCAACGTGGGCGGCATGGTGACGGGTGGTTACGTTCAGTCCCAGCGTCAATACCGGCACATGCAGTCCCTACAGTTGAATCATCGTCCACTCACTGGAACTACCATGGAAGTGGATGGCATGGCCCCTTGAAACATGTTCCATACCAAACCAGGGGGGTGAAATCACTTCACTTCCACCATGTGTTCCACGACGTTCCAGCTTTACTTCTTCTTATGAACTCAATGAAGCGATTGGGCGTCCCTGCAGCAGACCAGCGCGTCCACTCTTAGCTCCTGAGGTACCTCACCGGGCAGACCATCGGAGCCCAGCGACTTCCAGGGATTCGGTGGTGTAGTGAGCCACATGGAACCAATGGGACCAGTGAGCCACCACGGAACGTTCCAATCGCTCTGTCAAACACGCCCGGCCAAAGAATGTGTCGCAACTCTCACGCTTTGAAATCCATGCTCTCAACCTGGTCCAGTGCAGGGCGCTATGAAGGCCGCGGAGGAACAATACCACACACCATGTTCGGGCAAACAAACGGCTCTGCTTAGTCAAGCAGCCAGTGGAGGCTCTGTTTCGGCGACCCATCCTGGCCAATGCAGTCGAGGTGTTCCCGAGGGTTCCCGCCAAAAACAACTGCCTCCCTGTGACTGTGATTCAAATGATATATGATATATACGATGTGTATTGCTAACTAAATTTAAATAACTACGTATAAGTACAGTATACTAATACAGGTTACAAGACCATTAAATTAAAGACATTCAAACTCCATCTCTTCCTTTCACCTTTCTTTTAGCGGCTTCAGCCTCGCCTCCCGATCGGACAACCACATCCCGGAACCTCGTTCCGCATCTTCTCTCAACGCCGCTCGCTCGTTCCGGGGCTCCGGCCAAACCCGGGCGTCGCGCCCGTGAAACCGAAGAACCGAAGGTGGACCATGTCTGGGACCGACCCTGTCTGTTCATGTGCCGCGGAAAAAGTGGCGACAGGGTCTTTTTCTTGGAATAGTGGTCGGTCCTGTCTTATGCATCCGAAAGGTTGATGGAAGCCTCAAAGACATCGTCTGAAACACTTGAACATGCCATGCCATACGGTCCATGTGAAATGGTGGAACCTGAAAATGGTGAGCAGGCTTCAAGCCATTGTCGATCTTCCCTCCACGGCTTTTTTGGGGGACATGCAACGTGGAAGGAAGCCTTACCGGTGGCCTTTTGCCCAAGCTTGAGTCCATGGTCGGTTGATCTCCGAGCTGCGCTTGACCAAGTCCAAAACTATTTATTCATCAAAGGTCAAAGGTTCCAAATAAATGAAGGGAAGAAGGATTGCTTCTTTAACACTCCCAAAAAATATGATAACTGAAAAACCTAAAGATGTGAAAATACACACGAAAAAAAACTAAGTTTGCCACTCATTTCTTCATGTTCTTCCTCTCGAGTGCCTTCCCTTTTGCTGCCCCCCAAGAGTCTTGGTCCACAGGCTCCACGCCCAGCTCGACCTGGGACAAGTCCCACACAGCTCGCATGCGGACTCGACTTGGGGATCTATCCATGTGCGTGTGTGGACACTGTGGATTCAAGGATCTGCAAAACTGTTCGGTGATTTTGTGACACATTATGTGTTGCAGCAGGGGGACTGGATTAAATTACAAAGTGCTTCTGAAATTCTAATCGTGATCTTGCTATCATGATCTTGGATGGCCGTTTCGGTACGTATGTGAGCATCCAATCCCATCGTGATCTGTGAAACCCACAGCGTCTGGTCCCTGTGCTCCCCCGGCAGTGACCCCGAAGAGGAGGCAACACCTGGAAGGCTGATGCGCCAGGGCACGTGTCCAGAGTCATCTTCGGTAAGCCAGGGGCAAGATGCGGCAAGATGTTTAGTGAGGAGTCCAACCCTTTGACTGGAGAAGTGGGTCGCGCCGGCTGCGGTTCTTCTGTGGGTTGCTTGGTGAAACCACTTGATCACTCGGGCCTGGCGTCGCAATGAAAAGCTTCCATCTTTTCCAAGTTGTCAAAGAACCTCTTTAAACTCCACATGAATCATGGCAGAAGATCACAGGATCTTGAGGAGAAATCAAATTTTGTGTGTAGTTCGTCAAAATGCCATTACCGGCCCTTCTGCAATCTACTCCGAATCTCGCCCTGAGTCTCCATCCAATGATCTGACTTCTACTCCGATCCGCCACGTCCGAGGGGGACGGAGGCTCGGTCGGCTCGGTTAGGCTGACCCAGCAAACAGCAAACCCATGCGGCTGAGAGCGCAGGCTTCAACAGCAAATACTGAAGCTCAGAGATGCCAATGTGGCAGTAGTCCTGCAGACTGAGCACACCAGCCGCTTTCCGGGTGAAGGGTCAGCTCACAACCGGCAAACCAGTAGTGAAAAAGAATGGTAACAGTTGAGTTCAGTATTCCCGGGGTACTATATTGTATTGTATTCTTATTTGTTATTGTTGTTTTAGATGTTATTGTTGTTTTTGTGTTGGTTGTTATTTGGCTTGTATTGTATTGCATTGCATTGTGGTGTGTATATATACATCTTATATTGTAATACATTATAGTAATAGTTATATGTTCATATGGTCATGTGTTAAACATAGTTATGTGTATATATATATTATACACACATGAAACGATAGTGAGGATGACATGAGGATTGCAAAAACACACAAAACCAGTGAAAAAGTGGGTTGGAAACCTGCCAAACGCGTCGCAATGGTCGGCTATCTGTAAACGCGTCTGTGAGGAGTTTGAGCCAACATGACACTACTCGTATTGTAAGAATCGTACCAGAATGATTTAAAATCTCCATATGTGCTTTCTTTTTCCATCAACAGTCTACCTTCAAACTCCGGCTTCAAAACATCGCCTTGGGCTAACTGACCCAGAGTTGTGTACCCGCCAGCGTCGTTCCTTCTTCAAAGTTGCCCCACACGTGTGGTATGAAGCGAAATGAAGCTGGCTAAAAATGAGTTCCCCCTTTTTTGTCCAAAAAAAGGGGATGGTGTGGCTCTCATTCTCGTTCTGAAGCCATGGCACCCCACCATCTCCACGGGTCTGCTCCAGCTCTCCACGGCTCCGGCACGATCTCCGCTCCCGCTGCCTTGTCCGCTCCAAAGGTCCCACCGGGCCTCGGCTTTCGGCGAAGAGCCCATTGTTACTACTTGACAACACGCAATGTGTATGACTGGAGGAAGAAACCGTGTCAACTTGGAGATTGCATTTCAGTCAAAAGGTGATCAAGACTAGTTGCAAGAGAATTTGCTTTCGCTGAAGGAAAGAGAGATTACATTTTCTCACCAGCGACTTCAGGACATGTACTGAAGCTTCTACCCACAATATTCTTGCAAAGGATCAGTGAAGAGGAAGAAGCAAGAGAGGGAGAAGGAGCATTCTCACAGGTGCTAGGATGTCTTGATGTGAAAGACGCATTTCTACAGCTTCCACAAGAAAAGCCATTGAAAGTGAACTTGAGAGAAGAATTCTTGGCGAAGAGAAATTGACCTGGACAAAGAGTTGACTTTTTCACAGAGTACCTCACAGAGGAACTCAACAAGTTCAGTGCTGAGTGTCCATGTCTGGGAAGAAATGAGAAGAGTATCATGTTGATCCATGTGGATTACTTAATGTTCACAGGAGACTCAAAGTACATCAATGAAATCTTTCTTCCAAAGATTCAAGGCAAATTCGACACCAGTGTGGGCAAGATTGAGAGGATTGGTGATGTGTTCAATTTCCTGAGGAGAAAGTACAAACTAGAAGTTGATGGACTATGGATCCAACCAGGCAACCACATACAGCAGATGTTGAAAGCCTATGAAGAGCAGATTTGATTGGTCAAGCTCCAGCAACTACCAGCAGACAACTCAATCCAGATGGAAGACAAGTCAGGAGTCTTACATGAGCAAGAGAAGATTAGCCTTTTCGGAAGCATTGTTGGATCAGGTATCTATCTACGTCAAGAGAGGTATGATGTAGCATTTGCAGTGAAGGAATTGGCTTCAAGAATGTCAAATCCTACAGCTATGTCATTTCATCACTTGAAGAAATTATTGGGATACTTGAAAAAGACTATGGACTATTGTCTAGTACTTGAATATCCACAAGCAGGAGAAGGTTATGTCAAGAAAGGAGAAAGCCATTGGTGCTTGGAGACATTCTCAGACTCAGACTGGTGTGGAAACAAAAGCCACAGAAAGTCAACATCAGGAGGATTCCATTCATTGAACAGTTGTCCACTGTTCAACAGCAGCAGGACACAGAAGATCATTAGCTTATCTTCATGTGAAGCAGAACTACATGCAATAGTTTCCTCAGCACCAGATGGAATCTATATTCGCACAGTTCTTGAATTTGCTCTTGGGGCAAAGGTGGACCATTACATCTTGATTCATCAAGCGCACGCCAACTTGTCATGAAGAGAGGACTTGGAAAGGTGAGACACTCAGATGGAAAATTGCTATGGATTCAAAACAGGAAAGACTTCAAGATGGTACAAGTACCAACAGATAGCAACGTGGCAGACCTCAATACAAAGCCACTTGGAGGACAAAGAATCAGATACTTGATGAACCTCGTCATTGGTTGTTGGCACAGTGATGACCAAATCAGAGTAGGAGAGTATGTGAGAAGGGTGTTTGATGAGAAGAATAATTTTGCAGGAAAGGTCACTAAGATTGCCAAAATGATTGTCAGAATGGTTGCTTTTGAGGGCTTGCAGCCAATGGTTACAGATGCATTCTTGAAAGCAGAAGAGAACATCCAGTGTGGATTGGAAGATATGAAATTGGAGGAGATGAAGGAATCCAAACTGGAAATTTTGGATCATAGTGATCATTGCAATCAACATCATTTGCCTTGAAACAGTAATATTTGCACTATGGAACGTCTACAGGCTAGTTGAAAAGTACCATGATGAACTCTACTATCGTGTGGAGAAGGGCTATTGGGAGTCATGGGAATATACAGAACAGACAATGCAGAATTCCAAATTACAGAACTCAGTAGCGACATCAGAGACATGGAAGACTATGAAGAGAGAATGGAACTTTTACCCAACTACGCCACTACGCCAGGAGAATTCATTGTGGATTGATTCTCAATGGAGGCTTCATTGAACATGAAGTACCAGACCAGTATGATGTGCTAGGAGAGTTGAATGCAGGAAACTCCTTAGCCAGAAGGAGTTTGGAAGACATGCAAGCAACAGAAGGACAATTTTGGGGACACAGGGTAATGTTGCAGGCAGCTACAGATGGAGCAACACCATCAGAAGGGATATTAAACCGAAGATTCAGAATAGGTAACAGGGAAAGATCAATGAGAGAACAATACATCACAGGACAATCAGTACAATTGTGTGGTCGAATGGAAGCAAAACTCCAACAACTTGTGGAGAGACATTACAACCTTCTGCGTAGAGGATTGCAAGAAGCAGCAGACTTAGCTGGAGAAGTACCAAGAACTATTGGATTGCGCAGTCATGAGGAGAGATTTCCAAACAAATCACAAATAGAGACACCAACAAACCCTGGGAACCCAGTTCCTGAAAGAAATGAATAAAGCCTGCAGAGAAACAAGGATTGAATGGAAGAAAATGGACTATGGTGGCAAAGTGAGCTCAAAGAAGCATTTTAGCGTCTCACAATGCCAAGAAGGAGGGTGAACCAGATCAGTGTGTACATGACCTTACTGCAGCCCTTTTGTGACTCAAGAAAAAGTGCGTGTATATATATATATATAAACAGAATGCCGGTTCCTTGTGCCGAGTGGCACATTTGAGAACACGTCTTCGCCAAGTTCAGGCGACACTGTGCCCAGTTCATGTCCGAAAACCAATCAGAATCCCAAACCCGGGCACCTCCCTCTCCCGGGCACCCTTGCGGCGAGAAGATCTTGGCACCCCATTGGATGAGGTCCTCCAACATCGCGGAAAACAACACCGCCACGTGTGGCACAACGTTTGCCCCACGGCTTCACCAACACGCACAAGCCCCGATGAAGGCCACGTGGGGCTTAAAGAACGTGTCACAAAAAAAATCGAAGTCGACTACATCGCCAAGTTGATGGATCGGCTGGAGAGAAAAGATGGGGATATTGGCAGCCAGATTGAACATTGATTGATGGAGTCTGAGGAGTCATGGAGTCAAGGAGGCAATTGGTCAACAAATCGACCAACCCTTTTGTAAGCAAGAACTCCAGCCATGAACCGTCAGCTTGGACTTTTCTCGCGGCGCACGCAGCGCGCTTGCTTCGCTGCCCAACCGGTGGTGGCCGTAGGCAGCCTGGAATGGTGAAATTCTCGGAACGAACAATCGAAGTCGATGAGAAGACCCAGCTCTGTGAATAGCCACGAGATTTTAAAAAAGCTTTAAGCCCAGCCTGGATCCTGAGTAAACCCACTGAGATGCTGATGTCCCGCTCAGGCCATTGTTCAAACATCCCAGCTCTTAGCTCTGGCTGCTCCTGCGCAGTTCCTCACATACCTCCCCCCCTTCAAAACCTTCTACATCACCACTGAAACTCACAAAACCTCCCAAAACCTCCACAGCCCCCGAGTTCCTCGTGCTTTTGGGCGCTTCCGACCTCGCCTCGGAACTCGCCGGAACACCGGAACGGGGGCGCTCCACCAGGCCCAGCTCCGCCGCGCTCAGGACGCCATCCTTCGGCCGATGCGCTACGCGGGTCGGTTGGTCCGGAAGGTCGGACCCGCCGGAAGATGAATCGACTGGAAGATGGCGACTGATGTTTCGTGAGATCAGAAAACCACAATTCAACAGTGCAATTGCCCGCGAAAGTGAAAATCAAGTTCATAGTAAAGAGTATAAAAAAGGTCCAAAGACGTTCGAAGACCTCCAACTGGAATCTGTATAATTTGCCACGACTTGGAAGAATCTCCCTGTGACTTGCTTTCGCGCTTTTGTGCACCTGGAACCTCTGGCTCTGCAGGTGCCTTCCTTTTGTAAAATGCATTAGAATTTTATATAATTCATTCTAGATGGTGCTTCGCTGGGCAACCTTTGGCCATATGTGGCAGAAACCAACATCCATGTGAACAAACACACGAACCCCAAAAGACAAGACAGCCCCTGAAAATCTCTAGAACATTCGATGTCTATCAAGACCCGCGTGGGGTAGCAAATGCACACCCTTTAGCTACTAGCAGGCAGGTGGGAGAAAAAACTCTTTGGAATCAAATGCAACCTTCCAAAAATGTGCCCCTTCTGGAGGAGGGGATTTGGTGTTCTTCTCCCATAAGCGGTTTAGATTCCGGCCCTCAATTCACACCACTAGGGATCAATCTTGAATTGTATCACAACCAAGATGTGTGAGGTTGTACAACCAAGTTTCACATTGAAAAACGTCGCCTAGGTGGTCTGATAGGTGGTCTGATAGATGCAGATTGGCAGCTTCACCTCTTGCTGCTGGCTTGCAAACCCGAAGCTGGCGAAGCCCTTTGCCCACGGCTACAGCGCCTGGTTTGTGTCCATGGCTTCCCAAAGGACGTCCTGGTTTGGTGCGAAGATGCTCTGCAGTGGCAAAGTCAGAGAGTTTGCGAAATCCGCGCCCACCCCATGTGATTTATCCTCCAGTTCCCACCCGCTCTGGGATGGCTCTCCGTCCCTCTTCGCGGTTGGAAGACTGATTCGCTCTGTCTCTCGTCCTGCTCAGTTGGGGTGAGCATGCACCCAGCTTTCTTCAGCGTCTCCATGAGTTCCACTTTGGTCACCCCGCTCGGCGCATCCTCTGCCTCGCCCGAGGAACAGGGGGCGGGTCGTGCCGCGCGGGATGCGGTCCGCGTGCGGTCCGCGCTTTTGGGGGGCAAAGAACACGAGTTGAACGTTGGTCTCCCTCCAAAGCAAGCCATCCAAGTGTGGAACATTGGAGAGTAAGACGGTGCACAGTATCTTTATTTTGTGTGGGCAGACACTAGGGATTGAACAGGGAAGCCCTCCATTGTGGACCGCAAGTGCACATAGTCAAACAGAGATAAACACGTCATCATCGTCGCATCATCGTCACCTGAACTGGTAGACTTGCTTTTTGAAAAAGACGTATAAATGAGTTCAAAAACGATCCAAACTCGGACTCGGACTTGAATCTAACTCCATCTCACTCCCTCCTTGCACCCACGGTTCACCGTCCAGTCCGTCCGGTTCCCCAAACGGAGAACAACCGCACCGTCACCCATCGCCTCCGTGAGGCTCAAGGCACTCTTCCGGCGCACCTCGTAGTAGGCCTCGTAGTAGGCGAAAAGCGGCAAATGGCGGGGAACAAAACCCAGGCCGCGCAGGTCCAGGTGACATGAGATGTCCATGCACTTCGAGGGATTTCCATGAATGAGGAGATTGCTCAATGTTCCGTGATAACGGAATGTCTATGAATGTCTTGTCTGGTGGCAAGAGGTAAAAATCTGGAACATCTGCGGAAGACGCGTGAAGCCCGGCCTCGTCAAGGCTGTCCAAGGCACATCTTAAGGACTGCACCTGGCAACATCGGACTCGGCCATGGAGCCGCGGACATCCCACCCAAACACTGCACTGCACATTGGTTCACCCTGGTTCACCTCCCCTGCCGATCGTGTGAGACCTCCTCGCGCCTCAAACAGGTGCTTCCGTTGCAGGTGGTGGTAGCGCCGCACACCTGGACTCCACGCTTCCGGAATCCGCCGCGACCGGGCGCCCGGCGCGGGGCGCCGCCCCCCCGGTGCCCTTCCGATCCAGCGAGACCGGGCGACCGATCCATGCCGGTCCCCACACTCCATGCTCAGGATGGGGCCTCCCAATAGAACATAGAAGAAAGCGACACTGAAGGCTGTGGAACCACCCATCACCAGCCAGAAGAGGCCCGGCAACTCCTCAACCAAGCGGCAGGTGGAGCATCTCACTTGGGGCAAGCACATCTCACTGTTGAGTCGTATTTGGAAAACCATGAAAATGTTTAGTCAGTTTAGTCAGATATTCATGATATTATGTTTAAAAGAGGAAGAAGAAGAAGAAGAGAAGAAGAAGAAGAAGAAGAAGAGAAGAAGAGAAGAAGAAGAAGAAGAAGAAGAGAAGGAGAAGAAGAAGAAGAAGAAACAAACAACATCTTCACACTTCATGCACTCAACTTATCGCCCCATCCCGTGCCCCTCCTCGAGGCCAATCTGCAGATTCATGCCAAAGAATCCCGCGATCACCGTGCTCACGGCCAAGCTTGATGTTCCCATCCCCATCCTCAGCGCCCACCGGGGGGATTCAACAGGAAGGTGCACCCAGAGGTGCAAGTAGCCGTTGTGGCCATGGCTCTTCAGTCGTTGTAGCCCCGGATTGCCAACAGAAAAACTCTGCTGAGGAGCTTCAGCCATGTGTGGGATAAACAAATCATGGCTGACGCGTGCAGGTACAGGAGGACCTCTTCATGTGAGACGCACCTTTTTGCTGACCTTCATGTCCTACCTTGCTGGCGATGATTGCGGGTGGAAAGAGAATCATTTGCAAGGGAAGCGAGGGAGGGGGCAGCAACCTAGCGCGTGAGTCATTCTGTCCCCAACTTGAGGGATCCTGAGAAAATAAAAGTGGAGGAGGGCCTATGAAATCCATTCAAATCCATGCAAATCCCGGCTGACCTGTGGCTCACCAGTACGGCCAAGAGGGTCAAAAACACCGCTCCAGTCTTCGCCTCTCCCGTCGCCTCTCCGGCCCACGTCCAAGGATCAGAAGCTCCAGCCTGCGGGGTCGGTCTGGAGGAAGAGACCGGAGCATCAACTGAAAGATCTCAAACACATTGCAAAATAAGTAGAAAAGAACCGGAGAAAAAAAACAGATCACAGGAGGTCTCGAAGAACAACTCATTGCAAAATAAGTAGCACAGGAGGTCTCGAAGAACCCAATACACGACCTAGCTGCCTAGCTTGCCTCATGATGCGATTGCGCTCGCTGGTAAGCATCAGTTGTTCCATCTTGCTGTGTGTTTCAACGCCTTGGCACAGTGGTTTGGAGCCACTCAGCAAACAAAACTCCTACCAATGGAGGCCTTAAATGATTGGAAGAGAGATGAGGGAAGGAGAGGCATGCAAGGTTGCTGCCTGTCATAAAAAACAACAGGGATACCACAATGCAGTCTGGTGGCTCTCGTGCAGCTTTTGAATCCGATCTCGCAGATCCTGCGATAAATGTCTTTGTGCTGTGGAAGAATGGCGTCGAACCAGCAAGCCCAGCAACCTGTGATGTTTCACCTCGAACCAGCCTCAGCCTTGAACCTGTTCCTGGCACGCCATGCCACGCCATTGTGAGAAGACCTGGAAAAAATGAAATCTGATCCTCCAGCTGCATGCCAAAGGACTCCAGCAGCAGCTCGACGTCCTGATGATCAGAGACCTGGGCATTCGGTGTTTCTCGTTGTCTTGACAACCAACTCTCCATCCCATTCCGCCCTGACAATGGTCATCCACCAGCCAGGCAGATCAGGATACAAGCCTCAAAGTTTCAGGTGGGTAAGTTGGTTGGTTGGTTGGTAGGTTCGTAGGTTGGTAGGGTGTTTGCTTGCTTGTTTTTTGTTTGTTTGGTTGATTGCGTGCTTGTTTGCTTGCTTGTCTGTTTGTTTGCTTGCTTGTTTGCTTGCTTGCTTGTTTGCTTGCTTGTTTGCTTGCTTGCTTGCTCGCTTGCTTGCTTGGTTGTTTGCTCGCTTGGCGGCGTGCAGGCTATCATCCTTGACTGCACTGTCCTCTTCCGTGGCGGGTGCCGGAGATAATCAAGCATGAAAAAAGATGTTGACACACTTCACCGTCAAAAGGGCCAAAAAAGAAACGGCCAGCTGTCATCCGCAGAGCCACTGCAACGGCATGTTACAACGACGGGAGCTTCACCAGCAAACCATGGTCTCCTCGTTCTCCTCTCCTCTCCTTCTCCTTTCCTTCTCTTCTCTTCTCCTTCTC